GTTCGGACTGGGAACCGAACCAAAAATTTTGGATATCATGATTAAAAAAAGAAATTATCATCTATCTAGTTAGGTAAATGTCCATCTGGTGGTCCAAGGATATCTTAGGATTTAGATATCTGTGGGGATATTAAGAGGATATTGCAATTAAGGGAATTTGAAAAAATAAGTAGATTTCTCTATATCTCCTCTAAAAAAAGTATGGAAATGCCAAAAAATAGATCCAATTTTTTGTTTTTATATGTATATCCCATTTAAGTTACATAGATCCATTTAAGTTTTTTTGAGAGAACCAGGTTGTGATAGATTTATGTATTTAAACTGATCTTCTAAATAAAAATTAAAGTAATTACCATTTCATATTCTTCAGCTAAAACGTTGGCCAATACTTCCTGAAAATTTTAATTAAAAATTTAAAACTTTAATGATTTTCTATACAGCATAAACTTTTAAATTTTGACTCATTTTCAAATATGTACAACCTCCAATAAAAATTTAAGTTAATTAAAAGTTTTTGTGATCATTTAACGGTTTTAAAGTAAAATATGTAATCTGTAACAGTTATCCATTTTTGTAAGAAATGATTAAATATTTTGATTAAATATATGTATATAGAGTATCGGACGCAAAGGTTCTATTCGGAACACATATGGAGCTCTTTAAAATAAGATTCTATTTGCATATTTGATTTCTTAAACTCAAAAATCAGATTGGTCTTCCTACAATTTAGACCGTTTCGAGACCTTGTATTTCGACTTCATTTGTTGAAATAATGAGTTGTACCGCTAGACTCGGTTCAGCGAGACGAAACGAATAATCTTTGTTACGAATAGATACAGGAGCATTTTAATTAAAATAATAATTACATTAAATTTTGTATGTGAGTAGAAGTAGTTGTCACAAATATACAAACCCCTTTTTCCTTTTTCTTTCAAACTTAATTTTTCAAATTTTTTAGTTAATTTGTCTACAGAACTTGTTTCTTCTTCACAATCATTTTTTGTATTTGGAAAGAAATTACGACTTTATTTAAAGAAATAAGAAATTATTCTCCCCTCCCTTTTTATCCATAAATATGTACATAATGGTCAGATTTTCTTCCTTTCAATTTAACTCTATATCCTTGTATCATATGTAGATGAAAGAAAAGCCTAAGCTGTGATTCACCAACTTTTGCAATTAAAAGCCATGCCAAATTGCCAATACCCCAGCCAATACCACTATATGTACCTATTTCGTGTACCATAACTGGGTGAATATTCCAAAAAATTGTAAGATAATATGGTAAACTTTAAACATACTCGATGCTGGCTTAGGTTCAACTCGCAAAAGCTGGCGATTCACGGCATAGGCCATGAGGAGATATAGTGAAATTGTGAATTAATAGAAACTGACCATTATGTACATATTACGAAATAAAAAAGAGGTTATAAATTCTACTATTTATTACCTGAAATTTAAACCTCTTTTGTGTCTACGGAGAGAAATTTTAGAAATTTTATTCTCCTTCCCATTTTTCGAATATTTACAACTTTTGTTAGGTTGTGAAATATTCGCAAAAATTAAAATGAAAATAATTAAAAGAATTAATTTAAACATTTTCTAAAAAATCTTTAATATAGTATAGTATAAAAAATATAAATTATAAAAAATAAAAATATAAATATAAAAAATATAAAGTATAATAAATTAATATAGTATAAAAAATCTTTAATACAGTCATCGACATAAAGATAGGGGCAAGTGTAAATGAAATGAAAATTGACTATTTTTCAGTCAAAAAATACGTTCTATATAGCAATCGAAAGCTCTATTCGTATCTCAGCTGACATGTTTCTGCATTTTTCATGAAATTGAAAATTGGCCGAGATAATCCGGATCTACCGGATATACCAAATCCAATAATCTCGGAAAAATTTTTCGGGAAAAATTTAATAAACCCATTTGATAAAGAATATTTTTGTGAGTATTTACCACAAAACCGCTTAGAAATATCTTTCTCCGGACAAGAGATATGATTTTTTGAAAATGGCATTTTTCGCTTAAAAATCGAATTTTTTGCAAAAATAGACGAAAAATGCCATTTTCAAAAAATCATATCTCTGCTCCAGAAAAAGATATTTCTAAGCGGTTTTGTGGTAAATGCTCACAAAAATATGCTTTATCAAATGGGTTTGTTAAATTTTTTCCGAAAAATTTTTCAGAGATTATTGGATTTGGTCTATCCGGTAGATCCGGATTATCTCGGCCAATTTTCAATTTCATGAAAAATGCAGAAACATTTCAGCTGAGATACGAATAGAGCTTTCGATTGCTATATAGAACGTATTTTTTGACTGAAAAATAGTCAATTTTCATTTCATTTACACTTGCCCCTATCTTTATGTCGATGACTGTATATATTCAGAAAAATTTTAATATTTTTTCAATTTTTCATAAATTAAATGAAAATTAACTTAAATTAACATAAAATTAACATAAAAAAGTGTTATGTCTCTAAAGCTAAAAGGAGTTTCTGATAAAAATTTCAATATAATCGGACTTTGATAACATACAGTAGTCGACATAAAGATAGGGACAAGAGTAATTTAAATGAAAATTTTGTAGTATGAATTATTCTGCTAAGCTATAAATTGTATAAAGATCTTATGGAGCTTAAATAGACAAAATTTATTTATTTGATATTACAATTTTATATATTCCACATCTTGTATTTTATGTAGATGCACTTTAAATATAAAAAGTAAATACAATTTTGGCTTGAACTCTAAGTAAAAGTCTGTTGTCCTTTTTATCGTTACCGACTTAAATATCACATGAAATAAAGTAAGACAATTTTTGGCTCGATCTTTAAGCTTAGAGAGAAATTCGAGTAAAACACATATCAAAGGGCATTCATTATCAAGATTTAAAATTCTTTAAATTAAGCTTTAAGATATGTCTCTCTCGGAAATATGTAGGTGTTCAAATTTTGAAATACAATGAAAGGGCAAAAATTTAATTAATTAAAATATGATTAAAGTTTTTTTAGAATTAAATTACAATTGTTTCCCAAAATTTAACTATGTAGATATTTAAATAATTCTTTTATTATGCTTTGTTTGTGTTTAGCACATATCAAAAGGCATTTGGTTCGTAGCAGAGGTTCCGACAGTCCGACTTCCGACAGTTCCGAGTTCCGACATTTCTGACTGTTCCGACCCACCTCTGGTTCGTAGATATGCTCGATGTCTAATGCCTCGATGTCTAATGCCTCGATGTCTAATGCCTACATTCTATATTCATTTTGAAAATGTCCGAAAGGATATTCTTTTAAGTCTAATTTGAGAATCAGAAATGATAATCCTCATAAAATTGAAATTAAAGACCCTTTATTATTAAGATTGAAAACTCCTTTATTTAAACTTCTGACTATAATGATATAATTAATTAGCATTTTTCTTTTTAAATTGGAAACAGATAATATCTTTGAAGGTTGTTAATTGGATTTTTTAATTTTTAACTTTAATTAATTATAATTTATTGGTTTGGCTGAATTTTGGGTTAATTTTGAATTATTCAAATAATAATATGGATAAATAAATAGTTTAAATATTTTAAAATTTTTTGAATTTTTTTGAAAATTTTTGACAAACAATTACCTAATTGTAAAAATATTTATTTAAATTAAAAGTACATTTGAAGAGTTTTATAAAAAATATTTAATATTATAATATCCATTCTAAAATAAATAAATAAATTTATGTACTTTTACACCTGTTTTATTATTTGAATTAAAAGTTTTTATTTATTTTTAATAACAAAAATTTTTAAAAATATTTTTAATTAAAAGTCTACACCTTTAAATAAACAAATTTAATTCTTGGGTATATAAAGTACCTTTAAATTAATTTAAAATTAAAACAAAATTAAATAAATATATTTTATCTATTAAATTATTTTAAAAATGAGCTTAAAATTTATTTACACAATTATCTTTGCTGCATTGCTTTTTACTGTTAATGCTTCTAATAATGAGGTTATTTAATTATTTTTTATTAACAAAGAAATAATTTTTTTAATTAAGCAAAATTTTTTTGATTTTTTAAAGGATGTTGAATGCGGAGATGATGGAGATGGTGAATATTAGAAAAAATTATTTGAAAGAAAATAGAATAGAATATAAATTTAACAATTAAATATGTATTAGGAATTATTAAAATTTTGAAAATTACTTTATTTTAAAGAAATAAATTTTTTCAAAAAATAAAAATATATTTGAGTATAGTATTAGTATAATTAATTTATCAGATCTTTTAGTTAATTATTTTTAAATAATCCTTTTAGTTTAATAATAAATACTTAATTTTGAGTTATAAAATAACTCAGTTTATGACTCAATACTGATAATTCTAATAGTCTAGGTAATTTTAAAATTTAATTATTCAACAATAAGGTTGTCTGATAGTTGGAAATCCTCGAATATCCGGATCTGATATCCTAACCGAAAATTTCGGATATCCGGCCTTTTTCGGATCCGGATCCGACAACCTTATTCAATAGCAAATTAGGTATTTAAATAATATATTTATTTATTTATTAATTTTTAAAAACCTCAACTTATTTTTCTTTTAAAAACATAAAATATTCATTTAACGCCTTTTAAAATAAAACCCGAATATTTAAATCCTCAGGGATTTTTCTCAATTTTTGGCAGTTTCTTTGCTTACAAATTGGTTGATTGGCTTTTTTGGCGGTTTTTCTTTTTTTGATTTTTTGTTGACAGCTTTTGATGGATTAATTATTTTTGGGGTATAAATGGAAAGCTTATTGGATGTTTGGATACAAATATCCTTTTTTATTATTAGGAATTTGAGAATGCCAAATAAATTTTTGGAGAAAGGAATGAATGAGAGAGAGAATATTACGGTAGTTAAATTTATATAAATATTTTTGGCTAAATTCTTTTGAATTTAAATAATTTTCGTTAAAAAAATTTTTTTGTTTTTAATTTAAAGAAAATGTTCCGAACAATTCAAAGTTTATTAAATGATGATTGCAGTGAAAAACATTTAAAAGAAAATTCCAAATCAATTTCTAATCAAAATATTTTTATTAAAAATAATTCTCTACTTCCATCAACCCCGCCATTAATGATAACAAATAATTTAACTCAACAAAATAATTTTTCTTCGGAAAAAACTTTTGATTACGAACAACAATTTAAACTTTCTTCTTCAATCTCATCAACAAATCCATTACAACAATTGCCAATTTGTTCATCTTGGGAACAATTAATTGCTTTTACTTGTAAATTATTATTTATAATTTATTTAAATTTGTATTTAAATTAAATTCAGATTCAGTTAAATATATAGTTAATTATTTTTAGATATTTAATTGATAGATTAAACTTATTATAAATCAAAAAATCATATACATATTTTATAGAAATGTACAAAATGAAAATTAATTAGTAAATTTAATTTTACAAAAGTTTATTACATATAATCATTTATGTATTTAGCCCAATGATTAAACAAAATTTCTAGGCCGAAATAAAAATATATTTGGAAAATTCAATGATTCTAAATAAAATAAGGAGTATCTATGTTTCTAGTTCTTTGCTATTTAATTTTAAAAAATCAAATAAATTAGAATGTCCAGTCTTTAAAATCGAAATTTAATTTTATTACAATTTAAATTACCTCTAAAGTTAATTCAAAAAATTATTTTAAATTAATTAAAGTATGGAATTGGCAAAACATAACGAAAGGAATCCGACGACCGCGCACAACATTTACGTCACAACAACTTGCAGAATTGGAAAAATCATTTTCACAACATAAATATCTTTCAAGACCCAGACGTTACCAGTTGGCAAAAGAATTGGGTTTAAATGAAACGGTAAGTTTACAGAAAATATTGAAAAATTAAATCACACGTACTAACTAAATACGCGATTTTACAGGATCTCACCCACAATCCATATTTATTAATTTTTAGGACTGTCTGATTCGAGAATTCTTATGCCAATCCTATTCAGAATCTCTGGGTTTTATATCTTTAATTATACCCTATTTTTATACCATAAAGAAGTTTTTTGAATATTTTAAGTAAGTAATGTAAATTTTTAAGAGGTTTTTACTCTCTCCGTTGATATCTCGAAGGATATATGTAAAAATAATCTTCCAAATTATACTAAATAATAATAACAAAATAAGAGCAAAGATTAAAAAATAAAAAATTAAAAAAACTTTTTATTTAACAGCAAGTGAAAATTTGGTTTCAAAATAGGCGCATGAAAGTAAAAAGAAATGTTAACATAAATGTTGGAGAAATAGAAATAAATAATTTTGGAGTGCAAGAAAAAATAATGAATGTTTTAGAAAACGTGGATTCTCTTTGAAATTAAAAAAGAAAAATTTTAATAACTTTAACGACAAAATTCTCGTAATATTTAATAAAATTGTGTAGTTTGAATAGGTACACCAACAACCATTCTACCGCGGGCAGACTTTACCGCAGAGTTTCTGAACAATTTTAGATTGCCAAACGTTGTCGATTTTGATATCATTTTAGGTATCTCTTCGAACATTCTCGAATCATATTAAATTCGAAGAGATTCCAGAAATATTTAACATAGCGGTACACCTCAGTTGAGTTCCGACTCACTGCCGGACCCTATAACTTATGAAGGGATGGTCACTTTTTTTTCTCTTGGTACCATTGGATAAGGCATTAAATAGGCTACAATATACCAAAAAATCAAAATTAATGACCGACTGGTAAAAAAAGGTTATGACGATAAAGTGCCGAAAAATCTCATTTTTTGAAAAAGTTAGTTTTTGGATCATAAATTTTTTACCAATCAATCGAAAATTTTGATTTTTTGGTATAATGTAGTCCATCTAATGCTCTATCAAATGGTACCTAAAACATTAAAAATTATCAACCCGTACTTGAGTTATAGGACCGGGACTCAGTTGTTAACATACTTATGGCCTAGTGTAAAGTGAGTTCGCGGAGAAATGTCCTGCTTCTAGTTTGAATATTTTAAATAATAAAAATAAAAAACGTGACTATTATCTACTTTTGTTTGACTTTTCAAAATATTTTTTTGGTTTATATTTTATATTTGTCAACAAACATTAAAATATATTTAGTTAACACCGATCCAAGTTTTTTTTGATAAATAAACAATTAAAAAACTCGGCCAAAAAAATTTTAGTCTTTGCCCCTAAAATTGAAAACTGACGGAAAGTCATCTATAAATATACATAAAATTGTATAAATTTATGTACTAAAATGAGGTTTTTCTATTTTTGTTAAGGAATTTTTAAAATATTTATTTACATTTATTAATCATAACACAATTATTGCTTTACTTACGTAAATAAGAAAATTCCCCCCAAAAATTCCCCCAAAATCTACTCCTATTTAAATGCAAGCTGCCAAATAATATTTAAAAATAACTTTTTACCCAAAATACCCTAAAATTCACTTAGTAAATGTTTTTCCTCTTCACAACAATTCTTATTTTAATAACAATTTTTGAATATAATTTAATAAAGACATTAACCCCCGAAGGCCGTAATTATGTTGTTTCACTTCACAATGATTACCGTTCACAATTAACTCAAGGGAAAAGTGCCAATTTATCTGGACAAAATATGCCTACTGGGAAAAATATTAAACAAATGAGTTATTCTGTTGATTTAGAGAGTATTGCTCAACAATGGGCAGACAAGTGTACATATAGTCATTCTGGAACATATGTTTATGGGGAATGTTTTTCTGCATTTCCATCTGAATATAATGAAAGTAATCGCTAATTAATTTTGAAGAAAATTTTTATAAAAGTCGAAACTAGCTTTTAAATTAATTAGATATTCCTCAATGAGGTTGTCGGATCCGGATATCCGGAAATTTTCGTTTTGGATATCGGATCCGGATATCCGAAGATTTCCAGCTATCCGACAACCTTATCCTTCAATTTGAGATATTTTTTAATATGAATGGTCACTGGATGGGAGGTGGGGGTAGGCGATATCCCCCGATTTTTCAGCCCCAATGTTATCTCTTATAAAACGTATCTAAGTGATTTTTGACTGTGTAATAATTTAAATAACAAGGGAATAGTTACCTACAACAGATGTATGTAGTTCCTTCAATTCTGTTGATCTAAGCTATCTTTTCTAATTACCTATTTAGTAGTATTTTTATTTAAAAATCATTTTTAGAAAATCACAATTCATTCCATTTAAATATTTTAGCAACTGGTCTTTATAATGCTCTTTCTGGATGGTGGTCAGAATTGGTATATAAAGGAGCTCTTGGACCCGAAGAGAATAATACATGGATTCCATTTAATGGAGCTCAAAACGGCAGAGGAGTTGGCCATTGGACCCAAATGGCGTGGTGGAATACAAATAGAGTTGGATGTGGTCTGGCACGTTGTGATCGTTATAAAACTTATATTGTTTGTAATTATGATCCTGTGTATGTTTTCTTTGAAATATTTTTGAGAATTTAAATACTTTTTTAGTGGAAATGTTATAACCCTTGGAGTTTATGAAATTGGAACCCCGTGTTCAGGTTGTCCAGATAAATGCAATTCTACAAACAAACTTTGCCTTAACTAAAAAATGATACATATTTATCAAAAATATAGATGCCTAATATATTATTGTATATATCCCAAAAATCGTATTTATTTTCAACCATTTTTGTTGTACATTAAATATATTTTTCTTATTTTTTTATCAAAAATACATTTTTTGTTCTGCTTGATTGAATGGACGAAAAAATAATTTTCAATTTTAATTTTTTATTTAAATATTCTATCTAAATATTTATCAAATAATTTAAAGCCTCTTTTGAGTTTAAATATAATTGAAAGTAGAGAATAATTTTTGAGTTGAAATAGATAACATCGATAAATAAATTTAAAAAATAAATATTAATTTAATTTTACTCAATTTTTTAATCCAAACAATATTTTAAAATAAAAATGAGTAAAAATAAATTAATATGTATAATAAGGATGGCGGTTCCTGGGAAATCTCCGGAACCGGAACAAATATCCAAACCGAAGATTCAGGATATCCGGGGTTTTTTCGGTTGCGGATATCGGGAACCGCCAACCTTAATGTATAGTACTACTATAACAATATATAGGTAGGTAATCTTAATAAATTCAATTTTCTTTTGAAAAAATTTCAATAAACAATCAAAAAATGAGCAATATATTTTTAATAAAATTTATTTTGTTTAAACTCCCCAAATATTTTCTTTTTTCCCAAAAAAAGTATCTTATTCTCAACCATTTTTGTTGCTTCCAAAAACATTGTTATTTTCCATATTGTTAAATCTTTTGTCTAACAAAACCAATTCGTCGTCATCATCAAAACTGTCCTGAGTATCACGCTGTTGAAATTTATTGCCTAAAAAATTTTAAAAATATTTTAAATTATATTAACAATTTTTGTGTCCTATGTATCGAATTGTTTTGTATTTATAACCCTATGGATAGCAAAGCATATGAGCAACGTCAAATCTTTTTAATTTTATAATTATGTACTCCAATGACGGACAAGTTTGCTCCATCAACGAGTCAGGGGTATCCGCGTAATTGTGGATTGCGTGAAATTGGGTGTTTTTTGACTTGCGGAAAATTTATTTCCAATTTCGGGCACCCCTGCTCGTAACCCAAAAAAATGAAAAAAATAAAGAAAATTAATTTTTAAACAAAAATTAATTTTACAGACCTCCTTTAGCAGATAAACGTTCTCCAGAAGAAGATCCACCAGCATTTTCATTCCTTCGACTATGAAAAAATCCAAAAGTCCCAACATTTTCACACATCAAAGGTGGAGGAATTGTTGGATTTTTAAGACGATTTGCATGCAAAAAGCAATTATTTGATGAAATATTCTTGGCAGTATTGTTGTTGTTGTTAATTTTCTGATTGTTACTTCCTCCACTAGTTTTTAGAGATGGAGGCGGATCATTCGAAAGACTAAGAAGAGAACCAAAATTCTAAAAAAAATATTTCAGAACCAAAAAAAAAAATATATTTTTATTGAAAGAAAATGCTCATAGAAATGGGAACCGCTCAAAATTATAAGAGAAGGAAAATAAATCCTTTTAGCATAAAAGGATTTAGATTAAAGCCCTGGGCGCCTATTTTTCAATAAGTCAATTTGGGTTGGCTTATATCGGATATGGGCTTCTAATAGAGACGGGCTTTAGTTAAATGAAAAAATTAAATGAAAAAATCCAAAAGTGCCTCGTAATCCAAAAAAGAAAAAAAATTTATTTTTTTTATTTAACAAAGAAAATTTTTAAATTAAACTGATCGGAAAAATAATTAAAAGATAATTTTCTGGATTATTCTCCTACACTAAACAAAATAAAAAAAAATTTTAAATAAAAAAATAAAACGAAAAATTACTCCCAAAATTTCATCCAATTATAATCCTTATTCAAAAAAATTCAAAAAACCTTTTTCCCTCCACGAACAGAAGAGTTCTCATCTTTAACATTTGCAGAAGAATCAACAACTTTATTTTCAATTTCTTTCAAATTTTCATCATTTTGAATTCGTTTGTCATTAAGTGGATGCAGAAAACGACAAGAGTCCCCACTTCGACACCATCCAGTAGTAAACCAATATTTGCAAATGACTGTTGGCTGTTTCTTTTCCTCAGATTCTCTAAAAAAATTTTTTTATTGCAGATTTTAAAAATCATAAAAACCCAAATTTCAAAATTATGTAAAGAATCAGAAATTCAATGAAGTTGAAAAAAATCATTAGAGTAGTTACATAACAGTAGAGAGCGAGATTTTCAAAAAAAACCCTTGACCTTGATTTCGGTTGGGTACCTTGACCAGATTCTTAACCTTGAGACAAGGAAAAATCAAGGAACACTGAAAAGTGCCTTGATCTTGACTCTGGATCCAGAAAAAATCAAGGTCTGGATCCAGATCCAGCTCGCTCTCTACATATCAGGATCTAAGGGGGGATTTATTTTTATCAAAACCAAATCCCTGTTATATAAATTACTTGGCGTAAACGACCGTACAAAAATTTCAAACATTTTAAATTAAAAAAATTTCTCTTTTACCCATCCTGAAGTTCATCAGTTCCGTGTGCATAAATGCAAGCCAATCCACGCGGACAATAACCTTTACGAAGCCAAGTATTGCAAATACTTGCTTTAAGACGAACATTATTACTCGTTTTAATTGTCCCGTTGTTACTTTCAGTATCACTCATTTTTTAAATAAATAAATCTATGTAGAAATTAAATTGAAAAATATTTTAATTTGGAAAAAAATTCAAACAAGAAAACCAAAATAATCAATATTAAATAAATACAAAAAAAAACAGAACGCCATAAAAATATGCCAAAAAAGCGTTAATAATATTTTTAATTTATTATCAATTCTTAATATTTACATGAGAGATCGGTAAAATCGCATTCCCGGGATCCCGTAACGGGATTTTTTTCAACATTCATTACGGGACGGGATCCCGCGGGATTTATCCCGTAAATCCCGGTAATCACTGTAATCCCGTTTTCCGCGCAAAACACGGGATTTCGGGACGGGATCCCGTAAAATCCCGTGTGGGATCCCGTCCCGCGCCTATCTAAAATATTAATTAATAGAGATCATGTCGAAGAATAAAAATATCGATAAAAATATTTAAAGCTCAAATTTCTAGAATTTTAATCTTTAAAGAATAACGTTATTTAAAAACCTTCTTAAGCTACATATGTATGTATATATTTAAAAAAAGCTTAATTAAAAACTTTGAAAAACATTTTACATACTTTCACTTTATTCAATCAATTCTTTCTATTTCCTTTTTGATCAATAAAGATGTTGTGTATTCTAATAAAAAATTTATAAAGCGACTTTTGCTTACTTTCTTCTATTAAAATTTATTTTCCAAATTGCAAAAGTCTTTTTAAAATTTTCTTTAAAAACCTTTAAAAAATAAATTTATTTAATCAACTATGTACATAAAATACAAAAATATACAAATAAAATACAAATATCAATTTTAAATATTAAAAAAATTTAAATAAATGTCGTGAAATTTTCTTGTCAATTCTAATCTTTTCTTTAAAAATTCTTCAATTCCTCAATTTATTTATTATTTCGAGGATCCTGTAAACTTCCAAAAATTTGATCCCACAATTTAAGTCCAGCATCATCAGAATCAACATCAACTAAAATAAATATTGTAAAGCATATAGCTATTTAATTCCTAAGGCTGTGCAGTAGGCGTGGTATAATGGCTAACACATCAGTCCGGTAGTGATGCTCGGGTATCCCGATCCCGACTCCCTACTCGGGAAAATTTCCCGAGTTTTTGGCCTCCCGATCCCGACTCCCGGTGTCAATTCCCGACTAAGTCGGGAAATTTTTACACCCCTAGGAATGGATTTTTCTGACAAAATTATATTTCCATTTATAAAAAATAAAGAAATCTGGCCTCTTGGTCTTCTAAAATTCCCAAAATTTTCGCCTGCGGCGCTGAAAAGGGAAGATTTTTGGCTTAAGGATCTTTCAAAATCCTCAAAATTTTCGCCTGCGGCGCTGAAATTGATGAATCTGGGGAGTTGTAGTATAGAAGATTTCGGTGATTTACTAGGATTATGGTGAATTTAAAGAGATAACGAGGGATTTGCAGTAATAAAGAGAGATATCAATGGATGATTAATGTTGCATAGGGGGTGTTAATACTATATAGGGGATATGAAGAGATATTTGGCTAATTCACCAAAATTACACCAAAATTGAACGTAAAAATATTTTTCTCTGTTTCACTCTCTTTTCCTCTATTTCACTCCAATGGAGAGATTCTAAGGACTTAAGGTCAATGACAGCTATAAATCAAAGCTGGGCTCTTGCTCAAAGAAAAGCTCCCAGCAATACCCAACACTGATTATCTATGCGGTTACTAGGTTTTTTGGACAGGCTGTTGGCTTATCTTTCCAAATAATCGGGGAAATATACTTTTAAGTTACCCTTAAAGATCGTTCAAAACTCCTTTCTATTTCACTCCAAGCAGAGTCAAAATTTTTGCTGCGGCGCAAAAAATGGAAAAAAAAATTTTTCTTTAAATTTCTCCTTAAAAACAAACCAGAAAGATAATCTGGAGGTAAATTATTTATTTGATTATCCCCTTCTTCCATTGGAAAATTAGTAGTATTTTCTTCTTCTGAACTACTACTACTTTTTTTATTAGACGTTTCTCCTTTAATTTCTTTCCCTTTATTTAAAGATTTTTCAATAGCTATTTGTATATCTTTGCTTTCTTTATCATCCATCTCTTCAGAAATTTCTTCAGTTTTTACTAAATTATCTTTTTGTGCATACTCAACAGAGGGATTATTAAAATGTTGACAGCAACGATGGTGAATTGGTTGTGGGGGCAAACTTCAAAAAAAATTTTTTTCAAATAAAAATTTAAAAACAAGACAAACTCAAAATTTATTTTCCTGTTCCCAGCATCAAACGAAGAAAAATATCTTCTCTTTTTTTTATTTATTTTTAAATTGTTGCTAGGTCCAGGCTCGGTAAATTTAAACACATTTGAAGTACTATTATTTCTTTGTCTTTTTGTTGTTAATTGATGTTCAATTTCTTCTTCATTTCCATCAATTAAAGTTCTTTGAAAAAAAATATAAAAAATTTTTATTTAATTATACACAAATTTATTTTTAATTAATGGCTAAACATTGTTTTTCATCAATATCGTTATTTTTCATATTACATTCGATTACCTCTATAAAACACCTCCAATTAAAATACAGCTCAGTACATATGTAGTACAAGGCAGAGGTGGGCGAAATTCCGATTTCTGACTTCCGTTGTTTTTGTTTCCGATTTCCGAAAAAACTTGATTTCCGATTTACGAGTTCCGACTTTTGAGCCAGTTCCGATTTCCGGCTCTTCCTATTTCCGACACCTCTGACTGTTCCGACCCACCTCTGATACAAGGTATATTTTTCGCCCCAAAAGACCTATTTATTGAGTTCCTATTGTTTCTCAATCCCGCTCAATTTTTCAAAACTTACTGAAAATTGGGTGTTGAAGAAGGCCTTTTCAATAATCCAAGAGCTTTATTTCTTAGACTCTGACCATTTCTGTCAAAATTTCCAGTTAAAGCTCTTGAAGGAGAAGAAGATAATTGCGGAATAAATTTTGCAGAAGGCAAATTTTCAACAACTTTTTTAATAAATTTAGGCACAACAAGCTCTGTATTTACTTCATTGTAATTGGGTGTAATGAAAAATTTTTTTAATTTAGACCATGAACTTTGATAAATTGGTGCAAATTTATATGTATATTTTGGTTCTTGACCATTCTAAATTAATACATATTTTAATTTTTAATTAAAAATTATATTAAATTTTAAATTTATTATTTCAAAATTTAATCAAACTTATTTTAGGTATTCGTATGTTAAATAAAATAGAGTTGGCCAGTATCAGGATCCCGACCAGTATCGGGCGGTATTTTACCGGTTTATTTAAATCCCGATACCATTTTTGCTGATAGTGAGGCCTGTATCGGATCCGATGAGAATTGGTATTGGCGAGAATATTAGTAAAGACTGGAGGTAAAAAAATAAGAGAAAGAGGGTGAATTTAATTTACGCTTTTTTTAAATTTAAAGACACCCCCTCGTTTAATCCATGTTTAAAAAATCTGGTTTTTGGTTTTAAGTTTTAGTCCAATACCGGTTTTATTTTGTGGAATTTAAAAAAAAATTTTGCGGTTTTCAGTTTTGAAATTTATAAAAACGGTTAATTTTTGGTAAAAAAATATAAAAAATTCCGGTTTTAAAACCGGTCGTGTCCAACTCTAGGGGGATGTTTTTTTCTAGTGGGATGTTTCCTAAGCGATACCACTCATAAGTTATAATTTTTCAGGGTAAATGTCCAGTTGGCGGTCTACATGTCCGCAAAGAGAATCTGCTCTTTTCTTTCCTTTACTTGCATTTTTTGCGTTGGGAGAAATGCTCTGTTCATTTTTCCTTTTCTTCCATTTTTCCTTCTTAATACAGTATGTTTTCCTGTTCATACTTGAAAAATAAAAATACCCTAATTAGAAAAAAATTATTTATTTTACAAAATACCCGGTAAAATAAATAAATACCGGGCCTGGACCGAGCTACCGGGCCCGGAAAACTCGGTCCCGGCCCGGGTTAGAGCTCTAATAAAAACTATGAGGGGGAGGATGGATGTAAAAACTCGGCCCATGTTTTTACTCAATATCGATATCCTGAAACAAGAAATTCAACGTAGAACAGGTTATGTCTCCTTAAATATTATTTTGAAATTTTTTAGATCATTATTTTGGGCTTATTAGAAAGCCATAGATCTATTGTTTGTAAATCTAAATCTATGATTTGTAAAATTTTTTTCTAATTAGAGGTATTTTTATTTTTCAAGTATGAACAGGAAAACATACTGTATGTATTAAGAAGGAAAAATGGAAGAAAAGGAAAAATAAACGGAGCATTTCTCCCAACGCAAAAAATGCAAGTAAAGGAAAGAAAAGAGCAGATTCTCTTTGCGGACATGTAGACCGCCAACTGGACATTTACCATTTTTCAGCACCAAAAGCTGGTATTTGTATTATTTAATATTTTAAATAAAATTACTTGAAGGATTGGCATAGAAATATAAACACTATAAATTTCCTCTTCTTTCAAAAAAATTTCTTTATTGAAAGGAAATATTGGGCTAAAATTAAAAATTTAAATAAGTATATTAAATATTTCCCCAAACTTTTTTTGCCAATCTCTTTTAATTGGAATTTGAGTATTTGGACAATTTTGGATTGGACATTTAAATATGTCAATTAAAGGTAAAGAAGTTGTTGATCGGGGAGAATTTGAAGAATCTCTTCGAATTTTACTTAACAATCCGCCACTATTATTATTTCTGTTGTTTAATGAAGTATTTAAACGGTCCGCGTTATTTATACTTAAAATTGTTAATTAAATTTATTTAAATAAATAAATATGTTAACTTTTTTGTTGCGCAGTCCTTGTGAATAAAATGCTGAAAATATATAAATTTAAAGGATTACTACCAGGGCTTGGCTAATTACGCATCTTTCGCATATTCACATTTTTCAGCGCGATTCGCTTTTTATTTTTAGATTTTGCTCAGCTCTGATTACTACATACATAGATAAAATATTAGATTACTGAGTACTTGAATTTAGATACGATTTTTTTAATTTAGAAAGTACCGGATAGGGCGAGATACTGAAGGAATATACCCAAAAATTCGATTTTAGGTAACCTCGTTTCTTCTTGTCCCTAAGGATATACGTAAAATCGAGTTCTATATCAAAAATATTAAAATAATAATTTAAAATTATTATTTCATTGCAAATAAATTGCCAAATTTTGCCGAAAATTTCAAAGAATTCCAATTTTATTGTCAATAAACAAATAAAACATACATCACAACCAGGCAATAAACGAAGTTTCCCGAGGGACCTTTTGTTTTGCCCGCAAATTGAACAAACAACTGTTGGTACCTATAATTCGAAATTCAAAAATAATTTAAATATTTTCAAAAATTCACCACAAAAACACTAAAAATCATTGAATGTTCTCTATTCTTTTTTAAATAATTTTTAATTTTAATTTCATCTAATATCATTTCAATTTGTTCAATTCCCATCCATTCATTTTCGTTTAAATCTTTTTTTGAAAGTTCATTTTTGTTTTTATCATGAACTATTGCTGTAAAAACCATTTTCCTTTCATTTTTAATTTTTATTAATAAACTAGAATCTATTGGAATTGTAAATTTAATATTTAAAGAAAGGCCTCTTTGACTGTTTGGAATTGGATTGAAATGTCCAAAGGTGAATTTGTGGATTTTATCGAAATTTGGATATTCCAAAGTCCAAGTATTTGCCTTTAAAAATATATTTAAATTAATTAAAATAAACATTTTTTAATTGTTTAATTGGGTTCCCAAAAATCTCATTTTTGAATTAACTAGATGATTTTCAAGAATATTGAACTCCAGAAAATCCAAGATAAGTCGTAGGTTTCAAGATCAAATGTCCCAAAACTTTTTTAATAATAACTTTGATTAAAAAACTGAAAAGTCTAGAAATTGGAAGAGCAGTCTTGGAACCTGTATTAATCGACCATAAATTTAGTATCGGGTGGTATAACCGGTTTTTAAAATCCCGATACTGATTTTTCTGATACCGATACTGATCGGTATCGGGATTGCGGTATTAGCAAAAAATTTGGAATCCCGATACCGAGACCGATATCATCATTCCAAAATACCGATTTTATGTCGGGATCCCGATACCGGCCAATTCTATTTTAAACTACTACATATTATTGGCATATTAATTTTTTAAAAATCTTTCTTATCATTTTTTATCTTTTTAATAGCAAAATCTTTAATAATTCAATTCATAACATACCCTTTTTTGTCCAGCCAATTCTCTAGTAGATTCAATTCTCACAATTATTTTCCTTATTCTTTTAACAGTTCCATCATCTTTTACACCTGGAACCAAATTAAAGATAAAGCCAGCCCCATGAGGAGTTTTTGTAATTATAGTAAAATCACTATATCCACGCTTTTTGGCCTAAAATTTGGATTTAAATTCGTTTTAACTTAAAAATTAACAATTTCATTGCATCCTTTGACACATTTAACACTAACATGCCATTGTATTGGTACTCCATCAGAGTCAACACAAGGAGTTACTGTTCCCAAAAAAGGAATTGCGGGTGCAACAATGTCTGAACGGGAACGTTTTGTTGAAGAACAATTAAAAAATAATTGAGAAACAAAAATTAAAAATAAAAATGTTTGTTTTTTGTTAAAAAATTGGGAAGAATTCATTATTTTTGATTTGAAATTATTTTCTAAATAAATAATTTTTCAACTGAATTTTTAAAATTTGTAATTAATAAAGTTATTTGGAATAACGGGATGTTAAATTAGAGAGGGGAGTAAACTTAATTAGAAAGGGAGTTGCTAGAATATTTTAAAGAAGATATTGCATATTAGAGATCGGGATTTTTGAAAAGCCTGGGCCTGTTCCTGGGTGCCGGGGTTGATTTATTGACCTGGGCCGGATCCTGGGCCTCTAGTCCAGGACAACCCCCAGGAAAAACCCAGGAAGGTAAAAAAATGCCTGGGCCTGGACTCTGGGTAGAGGAAAAACCCAGGCCTTGGTCCAGGCCCAGCTCGATCTCTATTGCTTAGAAGCTCCTCCTCTCAATGCCTAAACAAATTAATAATTTATCCTGAATCTGAGATTTGTCTAGTATTGGATGTGTCTACAAATGAGGTCCCCGGCTATATTAAAATCTTTCAATATAAATAGGTAATTAAATAAAATATTAATTATAATTAAATTCGCTTAATTTCCCTTTCTTAAATATTTAAATTAAATAATTATTTTGAAATTTAATTTATTAGAGGTATTTCCTCTCATTCCTTTAAACATTTCCCTCCCCTTTTAAAATTTTCTCAATATCGAAATCTATTTCCTTTTCACATTAAAAGTAAAAGTCCAATGCACTTATTTTCCTGTTTAACAAATGCCCTTTTAAAATTATTTTTATTTTTTTTTATTTCCGATTTGAATTAACTCCGTCTTAATTTACCGCCGTCTTAATTTACATATACACGTTTTATTTCCTGAATTTGGTTGGACGAGATCTTTAATATTTTTTATTAATTTATTATATTTTATTTCGCTCAACGTTTCCACCTTCCACCAAGTTTGTCAACGTTTAAAATATATTTTACATTAAAGTTTCAGGCTTTAATTTACGGAATTCTTTGATTAATTTTTTATTTTTATTGATAAAAAAATTTTTTTCTAAACTTTTATTTGTTAAATAATAAAGTACCAACTACATAATAAATTTACAAACTATGTTTTTACTTTATAATAAGGGTTGGATTAATTCACAGTCGGAACCTTTAATTTGCATACACACAATAAATGGAAGATTGTTGATTATAAACAATCAAACAACCTACAAGGGTTCTAGCCGACCCGGTTCCCGAAAATCAGGAATTCCATATGTCGGCTAGATCCCTTATACTTACACTTCAATTTAATCTACATTTGTTTACTTCGGTTAGCTGCAGGTGGAGGAAGCTTCATAAAAGATCCCCCAACTAATTACTAAACTCGATTACAAACAATCTTTCAACCTCTAAGTGTATGTATATAGTAAAAGTTAGATCCGACTGTATTTATCTACCGTAAATCTTCCAATAGAACCACTTGTGCTTATATTTTTCGATCCTCCCGTAGAGTGTGGTTTAATTGGAAAGTGTGCTTCTTTCAGAGAGTGTAGTTATATCAGAATATTTACGGTAATTACACATTTTCTAATTTAGATACTCATTTTTAAAATTACCAACAATTTTTTATTTAATTTAATCCAACCCTTCCAATAAAATTTTTCCGAATTAAAATATTCCCTTTAATTATGTTCATAAGAATTAACAAGTTTTTTCAAAACAGCTTCTTCTAATTCTTCTGAAATATCCTCTATTAATTTTTCTTCGTTCTCTAACGTCTCAAATTTAAATTCACTTTTTCCAATAACCGTGGTAGCAAAGTCCTATTTATTAGAAAAATTTATTAAAATTCTAATTAATTTATTAAACTTTAAATGGCACTCTTGTGTTATATGACCCCCCCCCCCATTCTCCTTTTCTTCTCCTCTCCGGATTTGATTGGCTATACTTTTTATGCTTGATCAAATCCTGATGAATCTTACATCTAACATTCGAAAGCTCTCGATAAGCACTTTCTTTCTACCAACTGGATGGATCAAGTCTGATCGTCAATCGTTGTTTTTCGCACCTATAGACTTGTAATCTTTTAATAGACGATCAGACTTGATCCATTCAGCTAGGAAAAAGACATCGAGAGCTTTCGAAGATATGAGATCATCCGGATTGGTTCAAGCATAAAAAAGTTATAGCCGATCAAATTCGGAAAAAAGGAAAACCCAGACATATAAAACAAAAGAATCATTTAAATTTCCTTCCCAAATTTTTCCAAAATTTCACCTTTAATTCATATATTTTTTTCATTCTCTCAAATGCAGTCAAAACACGAAGTCCCAAAATAATTGTTTCTTTCCAGAATAATTTTTGATCCTCATTTGCCATGACGTCTTCCCAACCTTCAACCCATTTATTTTTTAAAATTTTGGGATTAAATTCCAAAGAATTAATTATATTTTTTGCTTCTTTATGCAATTCGGGATCAAATTTATTTAAAAGTATTGGTTTTAATGTTCGCTCAGCAAAGAACCAAATAATTGCCAAAGAACGGGAATTCTTATATAATTTGTTAGCACTAAATTAACAATAATTAATTATTATCACATTCAAACATAAAATTTATTTACCCCAAAAATACTTCAATTTTAGTTCAGTTTAGTTTGTCATTGGTAGGGGTGCCGTTTTCGAGTCGGGCCGACAGTCGAGGCATTTTTTTCAGGCTTGTTTTTATCGAGTCGGGTGTTCTTATCGAGCCAAATATCTTATGCCCGACTCGATCTTTCGGTCCAAATCGGGCCATTTTGGCAACCCTAATCATTAGATGGGCGAAATGCCTAAGCAATAATCCCTTATTATATGATAAGATTTTCTTCATCCCAAGGGCTTAGAAGAGGTCCAACTGTATTTTAATTCATATGATATTTTCTTCATCTCCTACTTAACTGTTTCCAATATTTCCAATATTTTTGTAAAAAATTACCTCTTTCCAGATTTAGAAAATGAATCTTTCTTCTGACTAAAAAAACGACGTGGTGATGCAACAAAACTTTTGATGGGAGAAGCAAAGCTAAAGCTATATCTCCTTTAAATTTAAAATTAATTTAAATTTATTATTTTCTAACTTTTGTTCATTATTTTTAGAAGAACATTCCCCAACATCTTTACATCCCAAGCTATTCGTAAAAACTCTCAGTGGCGATGCTTGTGGTGTCATAAAGCCTAATCCTGTTTTATTATTTTTTCCTTTTTTCGAAAACAGTTCATTTCCGAATCTTTGCGAATTACTTTCATTTACTTTCTTCGTGTAGATATCAAATATTGTTTTTTCGTTTATTTCTTCTATAGTACTTTTTTCCGAATTTTGAGAAGAATTTAAATAATTTTTTAGAGATGTTTTAGTTAATTCACTCCAAGAAGTCTTTTCTTGTTTTATAATTTCCAAAATATGTTTCTGTAAAATTATTGAAACTTGGGCTAAACGATTCATCCAAATAGATCGACCATAATAAATCTAAATATTTTAAATCATAAATTAAAAGTTTAAAATAAAAATTTTGTTATTTAATTAGTCTGCATGGAATAAGTCTAAATGGTATTGAATGTTTGGAAGTTTACTTGTGTGTGGAGTTTTTTTTAAATAATTTTGGCCCGAAAAAGACTCGGTGCCTGGTTCGATAAAAATGAAACCCGAAAAAATGACTCGAACGTCGGCCCGGTTCGATAACGGCAACCCTAATAGGGATAGATATACACACTTTTCTTCAATAGGGCAATGTACTATCCAATATCCAGGGGCCGTAGGTCCTGAAATAAGTTCTTAAATTGATATCCCGATATATGTAGAATTTCGATATATGTCAAAAGAAAATAAAAATCCTAATTCGAATCAACACAATCTGACCAAATTAATGAATTATAATTTCACTAAAGTGTAACTCGAAACTTTGTATGGCTACAATTTTTCCAGAAATGGTATGAATAAATTAATTATGTATGTAAATATATAATTATACTTAAATTTACCTTTACTCCTATTAAATCCACATTAATTTCATCTAGTATTATTGCTTTATTAATCTTATCTAGTATTGCTTCTTTAATCTTATCTATTGCTTCTTGTTTTTGATTATTTAAATCATTACCCTCTTCATCCTTTATTATTTTTTTACTTTTTGAAGAATTTGGTGGTAATATTACGTCTTTTTTAATTTGTCTTTAAAATGTAATTAAAGAATTAATTAAATATTTTTATTTAAAAATTTACATTTTTTCTTTAAATTTTTTCAAATTCTTCATTGCACCTTCAAGTTTACCTTTCTTCTTTTTTCCATATTTTATCATAAGGTACCTTTAAAATTTGAAAAAAAATATTAAAATATTTTTTATAAGATTAAGAATTAAAACTGTCTTCCCCTTAATTTTAAAAATCGGATGGCATAACCAATTATTAACCGTTACACTCATTTTTCGATTAATCCTTATTAAAAACCCCTCCTGTTTTTATTTTGAGTTTTAATTAAATAATGAGATGTTTATTTTGGGGGAATTTAAAAATCACTAATTTTCAAAATTTTTTTGTTTCCTTAAATTGATGATCTCCAACCCTAATTAAAAAGTAATTAATCAGTAGATCAAAAAATATTTTATTTTCTTTAATTAATTTTTTTATTAAAAACTTTTAGCAGAATTCTGTTTATTTTACGATAATTATAGAATAATATTATACATTTAAACCTTAATTTTAATGTAATTAAATTTTATTTTATTAATAAATTAATTTTAAAATTTGGAATTTACAAAAAAATTTATTTGTTTTCAAAAAACCTACTCATTTTTATCAATCATATAATTTTTTAAAAAATCATTAATTCTTTCTTCTTCAATTTTTATTTTTTTGTCTAATTTTTCATTACTAAATTCTTCTAATTTTTGCCCTAAAACAATTTCTAATTTTAACTTTCCAAAAAATCCTTGAACTTGAAATACTGTATATATTAATCCTTCTACAAATATTTTTTCTTTTTTATTAATTACTGTAATATCCTCATCATTTTTTAATTTTTCCTAAAATAAATAAAATAATTAATAAAAGTTAAAAAGCTGGGCTATAGCTATTTCTCTCCTTTAGCTAGTGCAAAAGGTTAATCGGCGGCTGGGAGTGAAATCGGCGGCTGGCATTTTCAGTAGACCGACTGCCCTCACTTTTTTATTTAAAATTTAAATAAAAAATTACTTCAAATTCCATATTTTTTTCTGAAGCTTCATTAATTTCTTTAAAAATATTTCCAAGTTTACTTGATGATAATCCCTCGTTAGGATTATTACTAAACAAAAATTGATAAATCAGACTAGTTAATACATTAATTTCAGCCATTTTAGGAAGTATATATTTACTTCTTACAACTTCAGATAATTTAATTAAATGTTCTTTTTCTTTCTCAATTTTTTCTTTTTTCTTTTTTAATTTATCTTCTTCCTCACCCTTTGTTTCATTTTCATCTTCTTCTTCATCAATAACCTCCATTTTATTTTCATTTTCGTTGGATGTTTCTCCCCTAATTTTTAATGATTTTTCTTCAATTTTAGATACTTTATCTAAATTTTCCACGACTTTGTCCATCTTTTCAATAATAAAATAACTTGGAGGCATATTTTTACCTTTTAAATCTTTTGATGATTCCGCAACACTAAATTATATAAAAGATTTTAATTAGGACAAAAAAAAATTTCAAGCTTTTAACAGACGTGCCCGAATAAAAATTTTGGGCCATATCCAAAATTTTTATCAAAATTTATATCCAAAATTTTTTGGGCCATATCCAAAATTTTATATCCACGGCAATTTTTGACTTGATATAGTAAAATAAAAAATATCCGTATCTGTTCATATCTACGGAGGCGGATATATCCGCATCCGTGATCAAGCCTGATATTTATGCCTTTTCAATTAATACATGTCAGGGATGTCTCGGGGCGAGAAAAAAGTCGGGCCGGATTTCGGGTCGGGTTTTATAATTGGGGTCGGATTTTGAGTAACCCGAGACATCTCTGGTACATATTATTAAAATAACCCCAACCCTTTTCCTTTTTCATCATCGACACCATCTACTTTTGAAATAACCAAAAATTGAAAATATACAATTAATATAAAATAATACATATTTTATTCTTTTAAATTTAATTTTAAAAATTTTATATAATAAATATTTACAATTAAATAATTATTTTTTAAATTAGCAAATTTAGGCAATAAATTTAAAAAATTAAAAATTATAATTTTGTGAAACAATAATTAAATAAAAAAATAAATATAAATATTTTAATAAAATAATTTTTGTTTAATTAAGGAAATAAATTATTTTTAAAAAAATTAAAAATAAATCTCTGAATAGCCAATTCTATTTTTACGTTGTCAGACAGACTATTTCTATATAAAAATACATTCTAGACGGCATCTAATAGACGTAAACAAAAATATATTCACGTGAATTAAGGAAAAATAATTTGAAAAATCAAAGGGCGAATGGGACATGAAAGAATGCCGAGATTTTGAAAAAAAAAATAATTGATTAACAAATAATTATCAAATGTAAAAGTGCATTACACGTAAAATAATTAGAGATAATTATAAATTAGAGAGACATATTTTTTTAAATTAGCGGGATTTACGGGATCTCACATGCTGGAGTAATTTTTAAATGTAATGCTGGAGTAACTCTCGCGGGAAGGCAACCACAAATCATGAACTTGATTTCGATATCGGTTCGGTTCCGGATATCCGAAAAATTTCCAAGAACCGACAACTCTATATACTCAAATTTATTTGTCTAGTATTTGGAAGTAATTAAATTAAAATTTTAAATAAAAAATTAAAAACTTAAAGAAACGACATTTTTTAATAAATAATAAATTAGCAATATACTTACTTAATTATTTATTCTGGAATATTATTTATAGAGAAGTAATGGCATTTAATATTTATTTAATTTTCACCTGTTTATTCTCGGCATTCTTTCGTTAATTTTTTAGATTAAAAAGTAAAATTATTTATTTTAATTAAAAATTATATATTTTAGATTAATTTAGCCAAGTTATTTCTTGTTTAAAACATTTATTAAAATAATTAATTTGTGGAAGATTGTTTTAAAAAATTGTTTATTAAAATATGTTTCATTGAATTTTATTTTCAATATTATTATAAATCTTTTTAGTATTTTAACTTTTATAATTTTAATTGATGAATTTAAGTAAGAATTTTGCGAATTTTTTAGCATTGCCGTATTTACTTGAATAATTACCCTGGCTAATTATTGTTTCAACTTCTCGCTGGAAGGTTAATTAATAGAGAAAGGGTAATTAACTGAAAGAAGGCGATTGATAAAGGCTAATAGGTATACTTAGATAGCAGGGCTGGAGAATTTTGAATTTTAAAAAACGGAAGGCGAAAGCGGAGGCTGCTAGATAGGTAAAAATCTTAACATTTGAAATAGTTTTTGTAAATTCATCTAGATCCATTCTTTCTTCTTATGTTGCGACCCGAACGTTCGGTTGGCGGGTGTATTGGGGTGCGAGGTTTTCGAATTGTTTTGTAGCGGAGTTCGGGTCGGGAATAAATGTGAAAAAATGTTTCGGGAGCGGGTTCGGGATACGGGAAACGGGGCGGGGCGAGACACTACTCTCTTCAAATATCTTAAATTTGATATAATATTAATTATTATTTAATTTTAAATAATGAAATTAATTTTTACAAAAATATTTAATTAAATGTCAAATTTTTTATTATCTTTATCCACTTCCAATCCTTCATTATCCCATTTATTATTAACAAATAATACTTCTAAATCAACAACAATTCCAATTAATCAACCCGAAAATTATTCCCAAATTGAACAAATTGTCTCCTCAAAATTTCCAAATTTAAATAAAAATATTAAAAACGAAATAATTAATTTAAATAAACAAACAAAATTTAATCGTTTACAAACAAAGAAAACAATTCAAAAAAAGACAATTACTTGTGTAGAAAGAAGAAATGCTCGAGAAAGGACTAGAGGTGTTTTTAAATAAATTTAAAAGACAGGAATACATTGTTTTTAAATTATTTTTGAGGCTTTAAATAAGTAAAATTAATTAATTTAAATTAATTTAATAATTAATTTTGGGTAAGGATTGTAATATAAGGATTTTAATTTATTTTATACATACATAAAATTATCTATTTATTTTAATAATTTTTTGAAATTACTTTAATTTACAATTGATTGAGGAAAGCAAAGAAAAAATTTTAAATAATAAGACCTCGATTTTTCAGACGCTTTTGGGTCTTAAAATGGTATTACGAAGTGTATTCTGACTTGAAGATATGCTTAGGCAAATCCCCCATTTAATGGTTAACAAATTTAAAAAAAATATGAAAAATCAAAAAGTTATCTAGATTTTAAAGTTATCTATCTAAATTCCAACAAAAGTATTCAGTAAATTTAAATAATTTTTAAACAGTCCATACAGTCAATCATGCATTTCTTCAATTAAAACGAATGTCTGTTTTTTAAATTAATTTTAATTTTTAAAATTAATTTTTAAAGGCTTCCTTCATTGGCTAAAAACGTAAAAAGAGTTTCAAAATTAAAAATACTTAAAACATCCATTCAATATATTTATCAATTAATTTCAATTCTTGGACAAACAACACAAAATTTGGATGGATAAACTATTTAAGAAATTATATTTTTTTAATTGAATTTAAATTGTCAATTCTATATTAAATGCTCTAAACATTTAAATTTAATTTTTTCATTGTACGTAATTCTTCGAAAAATCTTGTCATAAATTAGTAAATAAATATACTATTTTTAAATCATTTTTATTTAATTTTAAAAAATAATTTGTGAATCATTTCACAGAATTTTTTTAATTAATGGAAATATGGCTAATAATTTATAAAAACTAAATAATAATTAGTAAAATATTTGACATCAATTTTTCTGTTTAAATTAATATAATTAAACAAACTAAAAAATAAAAAAAATTTTTTTAAATGAATGGAAAAATTATTTTTTATATTTTTATTATTTTCTTTCCTTTAATTAATTCGATTAACGATTTCTGGGATCCAGAAAATTTTATACCTCCAGAAGTTTTAGATCCCCCCACAACACCCACACCACCTCCACCTCCAACAACAATAACAACAACTAAAATAACTACACAGACCCCTATTTTGTTTGTTTTATTTTTAAATGATTACTAAATAAATCTTAGATTTTAATTTAACAATTTAATCACATTATAGTCCCAAACTAAGGGGTAGGGCGATAGTTGGACTATCGCCATGGAAATATAAATCAGTATTTCATAAAAAATATTAAAAGTACCTACGTAGTAGTTTAATTTTAAATAACACACATTTATTTTATGTTTCTAAAATATTTTAAAAATTTTTTTCTAATTATATTAATTTAATTCTGATTTTAGAACAACTTCAACTTTAAAAACTACAGGTAAATAAATTTATTTTTTAAAAAATTTTAAAATTCGTCGTTGTATATTTTTTATACTAGGTAGTATTTTAAATTAGGTAATTCAATTAATAGGCTTTTACTGTAACTGAAAACATATCATGAAAATATTTTAAAAAACCCCTAACCGTTAGTTAATTTTTCTTTGTTTTCCTCCGTTCTTATTTGAAAAAATTTTTTTTAATTTCAACATAAAATCAAAATTAATTTAACCTGAAATAAAAAATTTTTTTTAATTTTATTTAATTTTCATAAAATTAATATTTAAAATATATTTTGTATTAGAAACAACCACTCAGAAAACTACACAAAAACCTACAACTCTCAAAATTACAGTGAAAGCTATTCCCCCTTCTACAAAATCACCTAAAACTACTATTTGTGGAGCAGTTCTTAATAAAGTAATTAATTATTGTTTAATTTTTGTTAATTTGATAGTTTTGTGGTTAAAAATATTTTTCTATTTATTAAAATAAATATACTGATAAAACATATGTACAAGCCAAAATCACAACTTAAAAGTTTAAATTATACAAATATAAAATTTAATATCAAAAATCTAACATTAAAACAACTAGGTACTAATGTATTCCCCTTTCCTATTTTTTTCCAAAATAAAATTTTTTACAAATTCTATTATTTAATTTAGTTAAAGATTTAGTTAATTTTTAAATTTTATAAATGTTAATATTCAAAATAATATTTTAAAATATAGGCATCAATTCTTGTAATATTCACTACAATGCTAGCAATTGGAATTCAAAAATTTTTATTTTAAATGAAACGAATGAAAATTTTTGTCTCTTAAGAACAAACAAGCTTTAAATTTTTTTAAATTTAAATTATTTTATATTTTTTAATAAATTATCCTTTAAACTTATATTTATATTTTAATAAAAAACGGCTAAAATGTAGATACATATAAAATTGTGTTACACTGAAATTATACAAGAAACCAAGAACGAGCCTAAAAATCGAGTGGGGTAACGGATCGAGATTTCAAAATTTCTTTGGATTGGATTTCGTGTCAAAGTCAAGTGTCAGCTCTCGGTTTCGGCTAACCCGGACAATCCCTGCTTGAAACCGGAGAATATTTTTAACTTCATTCCGAAAAACGATTAACCAAGAAAAATTTCTTTTAATTTAATTAACAAATTTAAATTAACTACACATTGTTAGTTATAAATTAATTATAAATTAATTAAATTATATTGACAATTAACTAAACAATCGTTAATCTATTTAGGTTTAAAAGAATGTTTGTTGTTTTATTCCACAAATAGATAAAGCTTATTTATTAGCGATAACCTGCTTTTGATAACATTCAAAAAATATTCTTTCAATTTTTATAAAATAAAAATGTACTTCTATTCTATTTTTATTTTATTATTAATTTTAATTAATTCTTCAAATTCTCAATTTAATTGGGGAACTCGAAGTGACCACCACACAACTGGAACTATATTACAAGCAAACGGTGGAGGTGTACAACGGTAAATAATAACAAATATTTTAATAAAAAGATTCTTAATTATTAAAAGGGATGATGGACATACACAATATTATGCCCATCAAACTGCTTATAATAATCCAAGTAAAAATTATTTTAAATTACCATAAATATAGATAAGGATTGTTTGGCTCCTTCTAGTTCAGTTTATAATTCTGATTGACGTTTATTAATCTAACGGAATTTTTTCGAGATACTAAGGATAACTTTCTCAAGATATATTTTTTGGACATAGTTCGCGGTGGTTCCTTGTAAGTCATTCTTAATCATCTACTCTTAACAATGTCTACTTTGAGTAAAATTTTATTAAAAAGGTCTAGATTTATTTCCTAATTACACTCCCAACCTTCAAATATTTTCCAACAGCCAAATATTTTTTACTTTAGATGCTTGGCCTCGTTATCAACCTTTTCCCAATTTTGGAAAATGAAATAACAAAAATATATTGAAGATTAGATACATATTGAAATTCACTTTGTTTTTTTTTCAAGAATATCTTGACGTTAAACTAATGAATGTTTTAAATGAAATTACTCGAATCTCTTTTAATAAAAGAATTATATGTACCCTTAATGGACCAAATACATATCCCCACTTTTCATTTTAACGCAACAAATATTTATATACTACATAAAGGATATTAACAACAACAAGAAAAACATTTTTAGAATATATACAAATTTAGCCTATCCAATAATTAAATATTTATTTATTTGATTGATCATCTCTTTTCTTTTCTTCAAATCTCCACTCTTTGAACCGTCTCTCTAGAGCGTGTCTTGGATGCCTTCCGCTGCTTCTCCTTTTGTTTTTTGTTTCCTTTGATGCTTACATCTTGAGTGGTTTTTGAGACTTTCCCGCTGTTGCGCTTTTCGAAGAGCATTCCGGCATACTTTAAAGATAGGAATTAAAGAGAAATTAAACAAAGAATTAATTAAAAACTTACAAATCCAATCCCCAAAAGAAAGCAGGTAACGAGAAGTTGAATGATGAATCCCATCTATATGTACAAAGGTGTGTAACCTAAACGTGACGAAATATGAATATTTAACAATAAAACTCCAAATCCTTTTATAGTATTTTAAATTGAGTTATTAAAACAACTAAGGCAAGTTGAGTTTGCTATAGATGTTTTTAATAAATTGGAAAAAGATAAACTCTTACATATAAGTTTCAGCGTGTTGTCAGCTTCAGGTCGAAATCTGTATACTGACAAAGGAGAGTGCCTGGGGTGTTCATGCCGAAGTCCCGCGGACACCCCAGACACTCTCCTTTGTGAGACTTAATTTTTTATGCCTCAGTTATAGGTTTCATTGTATATAAGCTTCTCCGGCCGAGCCTGGTTCCTAAAATAAAATCAAAAAAAAATTTTTTTAATTCGAAACACAAAATTGAAAGAATTTATTGATTCAAAAAATATTTTTTTTTTAATTTAAAAATTTAAAAGAAATAAAGACCCCCCTCTATATTTATTTGCACACCTCACATTTAAATTACTCAATGTTTGGAATATGGCCTTTTGCTTTCTTTGTAATTTTTTTTATAAATTTCTATTTTTAAATTAAAGCTAGCTAGATTAATGGATTTTTATTGATTTAAAATTAATCAAAAAAAGTTTTTATTTTGAATTTTCCCTTGAAGTTATTAAATGCCAATTTTAACTAAAAAATCATTTTTAATCGTTTTTGTATTTTGGGTTAATTTAAATTTAATAATTGTAAAGTGTTGGCAAGGAATATGTGAACTGGAGGGTTTAATAGACGTTGGTGGTTAGTGCTTGTTTTTTAGTGAAAAAAAATATTTTTGAATAAAAATTTTTGTTTTATCTTTCTAATTAATAATTTTCTTGGGTTAATCAAATCTTCCATTAGTCACTTTTAAATTAATTAAAAATAGCCTTTCTTTTAATGTTCAATTTATATTTTAATTAGTAGTTTTTGCTCGAATCATTCACCGTTTCTTTCCCTGTTTAAAATATTTGAATGAATACTTACCGTATATGATTAATTAATTGCCCTCTCTCAAATAATTACCCCCGCTCTATTAATTACTCCCTCCAGCGAAAGATCGAAACAATAATTACCCAGGGTAATTATTGCGGTAATCTTAAAATCTTAAAAATATTCTTTAAAAATGATTTCTGTATAACTTAATTAAAATAAATTAAGCATCAGCTAGCGATGGGTCTTGTTCTATCGCAAATGCAGTGCCTCAATCTGATCGTTGTTGTATAGCCAAAGAAGCGGCCGGGTCTTCGACTCCTGGTTTTCGATAGTCCTATTAATTTATAAATTTATTACTTTAGATAACTGTGAAAAAATGGGAATGCTAGATATTGGAGGTGATGATTTTTGAATTTTTTGGTAGATAGCATACCGTATTTTCTCGATTAATTCCCCCCACCGAATAATTCCCCATCTCGATTAATTCCCCCTGCCAGGGATGGGTTGAAATAAGTAATAATTCCCCACCCCAAATACCCTACTGCACGTTCAAATGCCAAAACTCGAATAATTCCCCTCCCTCGAATAAATCCAGGATGTGTTGAAATATTAATTCCCCAGGGGAATTAATCGAAAACGGTAATTGTTGTTGTTGTAGGAATATTTATTGTATAATTAAAAACTCTTAATAATTTTTTAAATTATTTTAGCTGGAATCGAAGGTACTTGTGACGGATCGGCAATTTATTTGGAAGGTCGTTGTTGTCTGCCTGATACTACAACAACAACAACTAGTCCTACAACCACAACTACACTACCCACCACTACAATTGTTACAACTCCAACAAAAATTTGTCTTTACAGAAATGATGTTTTTCAAATGTGTGAGTCTAGTAGGAGGGATATTTAAAATAAAATTTATAAAATAAAATATTTTTCAGCCAAAAATTTTTTTAATGAATTAAAAATAATATAATCTTTTTATTTATGCCATTTTATTAAATTATTTTTTGTTTTATGATTAGGGTCGGGCAAAACATGCAAATGTATGTTTTGTGTGCGTTTGTCTTGAACTGGAAAGCCGAAAAATTGTGTTTTTAAGTTGGTCCGAGCACTTTAGGACACAGTTCCTAATGCATATTTTTGCATATTTCGGCCCTTTTGTGCATATTTGCATATCGGTGCATATTTTGAAAAATTTTGCATGTGTTGGTGCATATTTTGGGCTTTTTCGGGGCATATATATGAGCATATTTGGTGATTTTCCGTGCATCTTTTGACACGCCCTATTTATAATAAATTAATTATAAAACAAAAAATTTTGGTAGTTTGAGGGATTAAAAATTAGAAAATAATAAAATTATTAGAAAAAAATTTTTTAGATTGTCAAGACAAACAATCGCCGGAATTTTGTCAATCAAATTTAGGAAGATGTACATCAGAGAATATTGTAAATAATTTATTTTTCTAAAAATTTTTTCAAAATTTCTTAGTTACAAAAATATATAATGGCATATGCTTGTTGTTATAGTTGTTATTTGGCATTTCCAAAATATTTGCCAGAACATAAAGGAAATAAGGGAAGGCCTGATTGTGGTGGAGGAAATGAAGAAACTAATAAATGTGTAGATAATGATGAAAAAGGTTGTAAATATTGGGCTGCTGAAACAACTACAAAATGGTGTAGAAATAGTGGGGTAAGTTTGAAATGAAAAATTATTGTTTCAGAAAATTGAAGTAAACCCTCGAGACCCCGTTTAACTAAGGCTTTTCTGAATGTTGGTCGTGCTGGCGAGGACCATTCCATTTGGGGTATTTGATGAGACTTAAGTCCGTGATACCCTTCTCCTTAATCGGACAAGCTCTGAGAGTTGACAAGATCTTCAGGCTTGAGGCATAGATATTACCGCTAAGTTGCTTAAGCGCCTTTATTGGGGGGATAAATAATAAAACATTACAAATATGTTTACTGGGAAAGTAACTAACGGAAGGATGAATCAAAGTGCCCTTTAGCCGTTCCTGCTAAACAACCTTACAATATTTACACATTATTTATTGAATTATTAAATTAACTCATTTTAAGCACTTTGGTGAAACAATGAGAAAGAGTTGTTGCAAATCATGTACTGAAACTTGAAGAAATTTTTAAATAATTAGTTTTAATCATTTAATTTTTGTTATATTTTTTAAATAAAGGATTTTAATTACTCTAACTCTGCCAGAAAATCTTTAAATATTTTTAAAAACCCCCGAACTTTCATCTTAAAATCCTTCACATGATATAATATACAAAATTCACATGATATAATTTCTATTGAAATAAATTATTTTTAACTCAATCAATTAATAAAAATTTTTTTTTTTAATTTTTTTTATGAAAAAAATTTTTAAAATTTAATAAAATAATTATTTACACATCTGTAAAGCTAAAATTAAAAAAGCTAAAATTTGAAAATTAAAACTTTTTTATGGCAAACCTTTTCTTTCTCTCTCTCCCAATTTAAATATTAAATTAATTTTTAGAAGTTGCCATTTTCAAAATAATTACTAATTTAAAAAAAATTTTTTTAAGCAAAAATGAGTTTTATTAAATCTTTTTATTTAACTTTTTTATTAATTTTTATATTTAAATTATTGCCTTCTTTTTATTGTAAAGGAGTATGTTCAAGTATGGGATTAATTGATGTTGGTGGTGAGTTTTTTTTATTTTCGTTTAAATTGAAATGTATGTACATAAGTAAAAATCTTTTAAATAAGGATAATTAAGAATAAAATTTGTCTGATTAAAAAATCATTTGAATTGTTTTTGCATGAAAGAAATTTAAAAAAAATTTACTGGTAAAAATTTTTGGCAGTAAAAATTTTATTTTAAAAATTTACTACCCAAACCATTTACTGGCGAATAAAGTTGGCAGATCCGTATATCCGGAAATTTTCGATTCGGATACCGGATCCGGATATCCGAAGATTTCCAACTATCCGCCAAACTTAATGGCGAAATCACCTGACACAGAGTGATTGTTGTTGTAAAAATTGTTGACTTAAAATGTAAAAATTTGGGAATGATGGAAGTTGGATGTTAAATAGTTATTTTTTAATTATTTAAAAATTTATTTTTTTAAATAGATCCTGTTAATGGAGGGTGTAGCAATGGTGCTCAATTAATTAATAATCATTGTTGTGGTAACTCCCCTTGTATAAAAAAGGGAATGGAAGATACTGGACGACGTAAATATTAAAATTAAAGAAAAATTTTTAAAGAAATAATTTAGCTGGAATGGAAGGTAATTGTGATGGAGGAGCTACATATGTAGATGGACGTTGTTGTAAGAAGAAAGAACAAAAACAAGTTACAAGTAAACCATTAAACGAAATTGAAGTACGAACTTGAGAAAGATAAATTTTATTTAAAAAATTATTTTTAATTGGAAAAAATTGTAAGAAAATGAAGATCCTTTTGGATATTTAAAAAGATTATTTAATATTTAAATTTGCTTTTATTCATTTCGTATACCTCACATTTAAATTTTTCACTAATTGGAATATGGCCTTTTGCTTTCTTTGTAATCTTTTTTATAAATTTCTATTTTTAAATTAAAGCTAGCTAATTGATAAATTTTTATTGGGTAACAGAAAATAAAGTTTTTTTTTATTTTAAATTTCCAAACAAATTTTCCCTTGGAATTATTAAGTAAATGCCAATTTTAATTAAAAAATTATTTTTAATCTTTTTTGTATTTTGGGTTAATTTTAATTTAATAATTGTAAATTGTTGGCAAGGAATATGTGAAATACAAGGTTTAATAGATGTTGGTGGTTAGTAACTATTTTTTAGTGAAAAAAATATTTTTAAATTTTTGTTTTATCTTTTTAATTAATTAATTCGTTTTTTTTGTTTAATCAAATCAATTATACGGTGTTTTTTAAACACTCATCAGGAAAAGGAGTATTAAGAACTTAAATGCCGTGAATGCTGAAATAATGTCCCTCTCTCGAATAATTACACCCTCCTTTTTAATTACCCCCTCCAGCGAGAGGTTGAAACAATAATTACTCTGGGTAATTATTTTAGCAAATACGGTATATCCTTGTTTTTTGTATTTAAATTGCCAATACTTTTCTGTTCAGAATTTTAATTAATTCTGCCAATAAATAAACCTTTAAATATTTAAAACCCCAAACTTTCATCTTAAAATCCTTCACAGGATTAATTTCTATCGAAATTGTATCAAGTAAATCAATTAATAATTTTTATTTAAAAAAGTTTTTTAAATTTAATGAGGATATAAATAAATATTATTAAGTATTTACACATCTGTAAAGCTAAAATTAGAGGAGCTTCTAAAACTTTATGGCAAAACTTTTCTTTCTCTCTCTCTCCCAACTTAAACATCAATACTAAATAAATTTTAATGTTGCCATTTAAATAAAATAATTAATTTAAAAAAAATTTTTAAGAAAAAATGATTTTTAAAAAATCTTTTTATTTTATTTTTTCAATAATTTTTATATTTAAATTATTGCCTTCTTTTTATTGTTTTAAAGGAATATGTGAAATATTGAAATTAACTGATGTTGGTGGTTAGTCCTAATTTTTATTTAAATTAATTGAAGTTAAAAATCCTAGATTAAGATGCTCTAAAATAAAAATTGACTTTAGTCCTTCCCACTAAAAATCTGATAAGAAAATTGGGTAATGCGAAGCTATAACTTCGTTCAGAATGGTCGAATCCAGGACTCTCTGATATAGTTCGATTCAGCTCGTCAAGATGCATCGAACCATACCCAGGCGTCCCGTTCGAAGATTAGTTCTGCGGTACCCTTATCACGCGGTACCTTGGCCTTCTCCCCAAAAAATGGGGTTTTCAGCAGAAAATAACGGGAAAAAGATCCCACCTTAAAGTAATCTTCTAATAAAATCAAAAAGTTTTCTATAAAATAAACAAACTACAAGACAGATATAATTTAAAAATAATGTTTTTGTAAATAAAGTTTAATTAAGAATCTACTAACGATGGTTGTCCTACTGTGCCATATGCAGTAAAATATATGGATCGTTGTTGTATTCAATTAAACTGTAAAACGTTGGGAATGATGGAAGTTGGATGTTAGTTATATTTTAGATATATTTTTAAATTTATTTTTTAAATAGCCCCAGATGATAATGGAAAGTGTGAGGATGGGGCCCAATTTGTTAATAATCAGTGTTGTGATATACCCCCTTGTACTAAAAATCAAATGGACGATATTGGACGTGAATAATAAAATTAAAGAAAAAATTTTTAAAGAAATAATTTAGGGGGAATGGAAGGTGTTTGTGATGGAAAAGATACAAAATATATAGATGGACGTTGTTGTGTTGCGAAAAAAGAACCACCAACAACAACAACTCCTAAACCCTCAACAACAACTCCTTTGGGGCTTTATGTAAATGGACGCTTCTTTATGAGTTTGTAGTTTAAATATTTTATTTAAACTACAAAGGGTGTGTTAAAAAAAATAAAATGAAACTTTATAATCAACTAAAGTTGGAGCTCATTTTTAGATATTTTTTGGGAATGGAAAAAATCGTATATTACCTATATTCAGAGTAGGGTTGTTGGTTCTGGACCGACCTGAACCGAAGAAACGAGGATTTTTCCGTTCGGTTCTTCGGTTCGGTTTCGGACATCCGAAGAATTTCCATGAACCGAACCCTAATTAAGCAGTATCATAAATTGGGTATTGCTTAAGCAATTCGAGGTATCTAAAAGTTAGGGTTAAGTGTACAATAATAGATATATTTTACAATATAAATTATTTAAATTAAAATGTTAATAAAGAAAAATATTAGTTAAGATTATCTATAATATTTTCCTGTAGACTTTCAATAATCCTAAAAACAAAATCAAAAATTTTCAGATTGTGCAGATAAAGAAAGTGATCGCTTTTGCCAGGATAATATTAATAAATGCATGGTAAGGAACATTTTTGAATATTAAAGTTAATTTATTTTTTGACTCTGATTTTTTTATAAATTAATTTTAAATTTTTTAGCAAAGAAATGGTGGAAGAAATTGGGGACGAGGAAGAAATAGAATAAATAAAAAATATATGGCCTTTAATTGTTGTAATTCTTGTCGACTAGCGTTTAAAGATTTTTTGCCTACATTATATGGAGGAGGGAATAATAATAATGATTATGATGATATTAATGATGATTATAATAATGATGATGGTTACGGATATAATAATGGATATAATAATGGTTATAGAGGCAATGGTAGACGAAATTGGTGAAATAATGAAAGCTGAAGAAAGAAATTGAATGAAGAGGATAAGGAGGAGGAACTGTAATTTTTAGGGTGGCACTCCGAGCCTTCGTGGGCGGGATCTTCGGGAATCGGGGTTTGTCGGGTTAGAGCCTTAAAGTTCGGGTCGGGGTTTCGGGGACGTGGTGCTACCCTAATAACTTTATGAAATACCTATACTAAATGATGAAAATAAAATTATCTTTATATTTTACAAATTAATTGAAAATATTTAAACAAAAAAGGATAATTTTTACTGTAAAGTTAAAGTATTAATTTATAAAATTATTTAGTTTTGTAAAATCTAAACATAAATACCCAATATGTATACTACAAGTATAAAAAACTACCAAATTTATGTTGGGTACTTATCCCAACCCCCCCCCCCCAGTCCACATTTTTGTTGATGTACGAAATGGTCAGTCATTTCTTCCTTGCATAATTTAACGAAATTTCCTTGTGACTTCTTCTGTAAATCACCCTTCAATAAACAAAAAAAAGATGACTGGATTGAGAGTGACCGGATGAATGAAGCCACATGAAAATTTAGTTAAATTATGCAAGGAAGAAATGACTGGGAATTTCGTACATCAACTAAAACGCGGACTCTCTCTTTTTCTATTTTTGAAGACTAATACCTACTAATTTGTTTTTAAAAGTTAAAGAGATTGAAAAAAGAAATGTATTTTCTCAAGAATTTTTGAAATTTGGATTTTGAATTTTTTTTAATTTTAGAACCTAGCTAACGAAAAGTCCGCAAGTTTTGTCCGCAAAAAAAGAATGCGGACAATAATTGACCGCAACAGAATGCGGGCAAAAAACAGAATTTTTATCCAAAAAATGTTCTTTTTGATGAAAATATCTCTTCCTTTCTTCTCCTTTTTGAGAGAATAATCCTTTTTATCATTCCTGTCATCTTCTGAAAAATTGCGGATAAAAATTGCGAACTTTTCAAGAGGATGCGTGGAAATAGCTTTTTTAAGCTTTTCATTTTCTAAAATTATTTCCTTAAATAAAGCTCGAAATGAGGGAGATTGTCAAAGAAATCGAAAAAATTCGATTTCTATTTAAACCCAAAGTTTTATTTAAATAAGTTAAAGTCACAAAAACCAAAATAAATTATTTTCAATAAAATCAACAACCAAACAAAAAACCTGTCAATTTTCTAGGCATTATTTTCCTTTGCACATTCTTTCATTTGCGATCCCTGTTTTCGTTCTTCTTCAAATTTAGCCTTCCAATCATTAATCGCATCGTAGAGACAGCGATGGTCAGACCTTTAAAAAATTTTGTTTTTAATTATAAATTTTATTCAAAGCATGGCAACTTAACCCGAATCAAGCAGGATTAGGGTGGATAATCTTAAACCCAGACTTTTTTCCAAAAGTAATTTTCAATTCGATTTTTAACGAAAGAGAAGTCCTCGAATTGAAGGACTTTGAATTGAAATAGAAGCAAAAGAAGTCCCAATCAGACGTGGGCGAAACGTTTCGTTTCGTTTCGTTGTTTCGTATGTTTCGTATGATTTTTACTGTTTCGTCTCGTTTCGTTACGAAACACTTTTAAATTTGTTTCGTTTCGTTTCGTTACGAAACACCTGTGATTTTTCAACGAAACGAAACAATTTTTTAAGCCTAAACTAAGGCCAAAATCTATAAAATTTACCATCTTTTATTGAAAATTTAAAAAATTTTCGCCTGCGGCGCTGAAAAAAGAAGAATTTCGGCTTCTTGGCCTTCCCAAATTGTCAAAATTTTCGCCTGCGGCGCTGAAAAAGGAAGATATCAATTACTTATATACTACAAATCCGTTTATACTCTACTCCCTAATCCACATATACATATTACTTAATAGACGACAAATTCTATTACCGGACTCGCATCATAATTTAAAAATTGCGGATTGCGAGTTGCGGAAATACTGGAACCGGAACTTCCGGCGAAGCACTAGCTTATATCGCCTTCCTCTCGAAATGGAGATATGGAGACAATTTGGGTAGGCAATGGAGCAAGCTAGTGAATTTTTTGGCCTACGGCCTTTCAAAATTTTAAAATTTTTCGTCTGCGGCGCTTAAAATAAAATTTTACTTGAAAAATATTCAATCTTATTTGAAAAAAAGCGTCGCCAAAAATTCGGCTTCGAAAATGATTGACCCCCCCCCTTCCCCGAAAATTTTCCTTGCTACGGGCCTGGCTTATGGGACACAATTGTTGTAAATAAACCAATAACTAAATCATTTATAATAGAGCCCGGCTCGATACGATATTTTTTCGATATTTTTCGATATATATTTTTCGATATTATCGAAAAAATATCGACCGAGAAAATTTTGATTTTTTCGATATTCGGTATTTTTCGGTATTTATCAAAAAAATATCGACCGAGCCCTCCGTCCGGGCTCTAATTTATAAGGCATAGGCGACTAATAAAGTATTTGAGGTCGAATAATTGCGAAATAAATGCAGTTTTGAAAATTTTTTGAATATTAAAATGTTTCGTTTTGTTTCGTTTCGTTTCGTAAGATTTTGGTTGTTTCGTTTCGTTTCGTTAACGAAACGATTTTTAAAAAATTTTGTTTCGTTTCGTTTCGTCAGAAAAAAATTTTGAGTTTCGCCCAGGTCTGGTCCCAATCAGAGCTCTGAACAAAATCCAATGAGTGATTATTGACTAGATTTTTTCCATTTATGTTATTTATTTTCACATATTTACAGAATAAAAAATTTTTGACCCTATCCCGAAAGAAGGGTCGAATCGTTTTTTTCATTACTTTTTATTAGTTTATAAAAATGGTCATTTTTCCTTAGAATTGATGTATGTTGATGTTTGCCTTAAGGAAAAATGGTGACAGAGGTTAACTTTTTATATTTTTCCTTGTTTTTGTTTGCTGGGCGGACTCGGAGACACAAAACACGGACGGATCAAGACGGACAAAACACAGACGAACACGAACAGACAAAATACAGACGGACCCGGACAGACAAAACATAGACGGACACGGACGGACCCAGACAGACAAAACACGGACGAACTCGGACAGACACGGACAGACAAAACATAGACGGACACGGACGGACCCAGACAGACAAAACACGGACGGACCCGGACAGACAAAACACGGACGAACTCGGACAGACAAAACAAGGACGAACTCGGACAGACACGGACAGACAAAACACGGACGAACTCGGACAGACAAAACAAGGACGAACTCGGACAGACACGGACAGACAAAACACGGACGAACTCGGACAGACAAAACAAGGACGGACACGAACGGTCGGACATGTGTCCGTTTGTGTTTGGTCCATCCTTGTTTTGTCTGTCTGTGTTCTTCTGTCATTGTCTGTCCTTCTCCATTTTTCCTTAAGGCAAACATCAACATACATCAATTCTAAGGAAAATTGACCATTTTTATAAACTAATAAAAAGTAATGGAAAAAAACGATTCGACCCTTCTTTCGGGATAGGGCCAAATTTTTCCACTACTAGGATTCGAACCTTGACCCCTTGGTTGTCGAATTAAAAACTTTCCCACTACACCAAAGTGACAATTTTCTCGTAGTGGATTTTTGAAAGTGATCGACTTGGATCCGGATCTAAATAATTGATTTTTCAAGGAAACAGAGCCGAGACCAAGGTCTTTTTTCATAATTTACGGTCTTTAAAAGCCCATTTCCCCCCACTACACCACAGCGACGACTCCAATGGATGAATTCATTGACTGGTTAGGTGGTTAAGTTGCCATTCAAATAATTTAAAAAAACAAACTCTTTCTCAGCACTAATCGGAATGCGGACGTATGAAGATGAGCATGAAGGTTCACACTCTTCTGACTCAACACGTTGACGTCCAATTTTAAATGACCGTCGGCTTCTTGCTATTAACCAATCACTGCAATATTTAAATAAAGGGTCCTGAAATTTTTTTAAAAATTTTTGAAAAAATTTTTACAAAAAAAACTTGATTATTCGCCATATTATTCAGTCGAGTCATCATTTCTGCAGCAATTTCAGTTTTTCGAGATTCCCAATATTCCTCGTCACGCTCCTCTGTAATGCTCGATTTATCAGTCACCATTTTAATTAACAAATTTAAATATGTATGCTAAATGTAAGGTATTATAAAACGATTGGATTGAACGAGCATCTATGATTCTTTGTGGCTAAATTTTTATCGAAAATAGTTTGTGACAAAATGTCAAATTTTCCAGTGTGTGGCCAAATGGTTTGTAACCACTTTTAAAAACGAAAGATAATACAATTATAAGAGAGAGGACAGAGAAATGGACAAAAATCCGGTGGGGTATCTTTCAGCGCGGGCGATTTCGTGCCGGCCGGAGCAGGACTAATAGGCGCGGCCGAATAGACGCCGAGACGAATAGGCGCGGAACGAATAGGCGCCCGAAGTTATTTTTTTCTAGAAATTTTTTTCCTGATTTTTTGTTCTGATTTTTTTCCGATTAATTAATAATATACAAAAAGTTACTTAAGTTTTGCTTTTTCCTAATATTTCTTTAAATTTAGAGAATAATAAAATAAATTAATATTTAATTTTTATAAATTTAACAAAATATATTCCAATGGTGGTATGTATTTTTATTTTTTTTTTTTTAAATCATTTAAATTTTTTAAAGTCATTTTTTGGATTTGGCCAATCAGCAGAAATTGCAATTCAACTCAAAAATGAAGAACAACAAAGGACAACTAGAATAAGAGTTGATGATGGACAATATGAGGTTTGTTGAAGGGAAAAAGAAAAATTTTTGTTACATTCTTTCAGACTTTTTATTTATTTTATGATGGGGAAAATGTTGAGGGAGAAGTTTTGATTAATTTGAAGAAGCCTGGACAAAAATTGGAACATCAAGGAATTCGAATTGATTTTGTGGGACAGATTGGTTATTTTTAAATTAATTAGAAGAATGTTATTTTTTTAGAAGTTTATTATGATAGAGGTAATCAACACGATTTTCTTTATCAGTCAAAAGAATTATCTAAAGCTGGGGATTTGTATCAAAATACAAAATTTAAATTTTGTTTTGCTAATGCGAGTAAACCGGTTTTTTTTAAATTTATTTAATAATACCAAGGCTGGTCCTCCTTTTTTTCTGTTCTAGTTTTTCCATTTTCTTTGGCAAATTATATCCATTCGAAAGAGCTCTTTGAGCGGAGTCGAATGGTACTAAAATCATCGAAATCCGACTTAAATCAACATATTTATGAGCTTCGATTTTAATCCCCTTCAACATCACAAAAAGCAAGTCCATCAAATATTTAGCTTCATAATTTTGTTCATAATCGCCCAATCTAATCGATCATGGTATCATTCTACTCAGCTCGAACAGCTCAAAATGGTCAGAGAAACAGAAAAAAGGGAGGAGATCAGCCTTGGTTTTACCATTTATTTTTTTTGAATTTTAAATATTTTTTAGTATGAAACTTATATGGGATCAAATGTCAAATTACGCTATTTTCTACGTGTCACAATTATGAGGAGACTTACTGACATTGTAAATGAAATGGAGGTTTTTTTTAATTTTTTTATAACATTTTTATTTAATTTTAGATTGCTGTTCACTCATTAGCTACTTATCCAGATAATGATGCTAGTATTAAAATGGAAGTTGGAATTGAGGATTGTCTACATATTGAGTTTGAATATAACAAATCAAGGTATTTATCATCTTTTAGGTTTCTAGCCTGTTTATAGACTTGCTAATATTTTTTTATAAATTATTTTCAATTTTATTTCCACGGGCTTTATTTATTCTTTAAAATAATCCTTGTGTTGCTACTTTTTAGAAGATTTATTAGAAAATAAAGTCAAAAAATAAGGATTTTATTGTTTGATTCTTACTGACATTATGTCTAAAATGATTTTAAATATACCAGCTTTAGGCTACACAAGTTAAAAATCGGGTACACCCGATATACCGCAAGTCCACTACACCGCCGGGTTATAACTTTGTCAAAGATTAACGAATCCGGGAGGCGCTGGTATAGTTTGGTTCAGCTCGTCGAGCCGCATCGAACCATATCAGGACGTCTCGGAAGCGACAAATTTGAAAAAAAGTTACTGGATTCGCGGGATACTGGCTAGCTCTCTTAAAAAATTTCGTATTTAGTTTTCGAACTCTTTTGAATATCTTCACTTGATCTTCTAGCCTTTTTTATTTTCTTTAATAATTTTTTCTAGATATCATTTAAAAGATGTTATTGTTGGAAAGATTTATTTCCTTTTGGTTCGAATTAAAATTAAATGTATGGAAATTGCAATATTAAAAAGAGAATCTGTCGGTAACGGTCCAAATATTTTTAATGAAAGCGATAATATTGCAAAATATGAAATTATGGATGGAGCCCCTGTTAAAGGTTTTTCTTTTAAAATTTTTGAAATTAAAAATAATTTTAGGAGAATCAATTCCAATTAGACTTTTTCTTGCTGGTTATGATTTAACTCCAACAATGAGGGATGTTGCCAAACGTTTTTCTGTTCGTTACTTTTTAAATTTGGTTTTAATTGATGAAGAGGATAGACGATATTTTAAACAACAGGTTTTTAAAATTTTTTTGTGATTGTTAAGAGCAGTCTCGTAACCATGATTTTTTCGGGGGGAGTTGGGCGGAGGATGATTATTCTCGGCGCTGAGGCTAAAAAATTCACTTTTTTGCTTTATCCTCCCTGATTACGGGCCTGGTAGAATTAAGCTTTTTGAATTATTTTTCTCTAACTATTTTATTTTCAAAATATTTAAAAATTCCCCATTGACCTTTGTTTAATTTTTTTGTTGAAATAATACCCTTTCTGCAGATTTAGGTTTCACTGAAAATAAAATGATAACTTTTTAAAATTATTTGTGGAACAATCAAAAATTTCTTTTAATTAACTAGCTATTCATTATATTCTGTATATAGTTTATTCTTGTTTTTAGTGTGACCTAGAGGGGTAGAAAGGACATTGTTTCAACTAGAAATTTAATTAATATAATTCAACAGGGCATAGCCAGGGGTCAGTTTCGGGGGAGGGCTAACATGGGGTGTGCACCAAAATTTTAGCGTTTATTTTGGCGTTCCCGACACAAATTTATTGAACTTATATTTTTAATTTCATATAGGTAATTAAAAATTAATTTCCCCACAACCCTTCCCTAGGAATTAATTTTTTACTTCAAATTATTTCAAAAATTATTTTTAAAGGAAATAATTCTTTGGAGGAGATTAGAAAAACCTTTTGCTATTCGACAACCAATTCAACAACATTTCCAGCAATCTCAGGGCCCAACGGCTCGTGCTTCTATGGGTTCACCTCCATCCTCTCCTTTACCTACAAATTCTTCTGTTGAAGAATTAATTGAAAATAAACAACAAGATGAGGAGGAAGAGGAGGAAGAATAAATAAAAGGTTTTTTTAAATAAAGAAAATAAAATAAATTTAATTTTTTTAAGATGACAATAATTTGAATGAATTTATATTTAAAATTAAATATTTACCTTAACTGACAAAATAAAAATAAATATATTTAATCTTTATTATTATTTTTAATTTATTACCATCAAATTCTGCATATTACAATTTATATTTGGATAAAAATACCTATTTTGGAAAATTATTTTGAGAAAAAAAGGAGAGTGAAAGTTTGTTTTGATAAAAAAAATTTGCATACGAGTAGGGTTATCGGTTCCTGGAAAATTTTCGGGTATCCGGATCCAAACCGAAATTTTCGGATATCCGGATCCGAACCGAAAAATCGTCTGTTCTTCGGTCCGATCAAGAACCGACAACCCTACTTACAAGGAATCATCGTTTACCGTCAGTGAATTCGATATATATTTTTATACCACTCGATAGAGACTTTGACAATCCATAACTTGGCTCAAATTCATTCTGCAATAAAACGGATATCACTTCGCAATAGGAAGGTGGATGTCCTCTATCGATTGATACCAAAAAATTATATCGAATTCGCACTTAAAATAAACGATGGTTCCTTGATAGTGAATTTGATTTACCTTAAAATTGAAAGAGATGAAAAGAATGGATGTGAATTAAATTTAAATTATTTTTTATTAAAGAACCCAAATTTATTTTTAATTATTTTCCTTTTATTTTCGATTGTTTTCTCTTTAAAATTTTTTTTTTATTTTCTGCTGGTCATCCTCTCGACCTTATCCTCCCTCCTCTCTTTAAAATTACAATTTAAAGAGGACAGTTGTTTCTAGGAAATTATTTTTTTAACAAGAGAATGAATTGAATAAATAGATTGGGGGAAGAAGTCTAGAAAACGGTCATTCTCTCTTCCGGTTGAGGGTTTTGAAGTAATTGAGGGGAAAGTAAAATTGTTAGTATTAAAAATAAAAGTGCGACAGATGTTCTCTTTTTTTTTTTCGTTGACCATTGACCGGCCAAAAAGACCTAAATAATATTCTTGTGGCCCGGTGGCAAGTATTAAAAAGTAACAGTGTCCCCCCTTCCCCTCCTTCCCTTTTTCCCCCTTCTTCCCTCCATTTTTACCCATCAGTCTGTTTTCTGGTGGCCAACTGCTCCTCCCTTTTTACTACTAAAATTGTTAGAAGTAAAGGTTTATGAGGTAGCTAGATGGACTAATACAATGACGTCTGCTGTTATTAACCTCTCGAGAATATCTTGTTTGGACCTAACATTTATATTTATTCATTGTCTTAATTCTAGTAATTTTTTAAAATCCAGAAAATTGGAGTTTTTGTTTGCCTTTTAAATAAAATGAATTTATTTCGAAAGTTCTTTTGTACCGTATTGTCTCTAATAGAAGCACTGAGCGTTTATCTTTCAATACCCCGCATTGGGTGGGCTTCTAATAGGGCATGGGCTTCTATTGGAGACGGGCTTCTATTGGAGACGGGCTTCTATTAGACGTTTATTTCACCAATTTTTGATAGTATTTGGTCAGTAAAGATTTACTATTTTAATATTTTATTCAAATTATTTATTACAAGAGTTAAAGACAAAAATCTTAGTGATAAAGTTGTTTTCAAAAGAAATATACTACTCAAAAATTGGCATTTAATTATCCCTAGCTAAAATAAAATAGTTTAATTTTTAGATTAGAAAAGCTAGTCATTTTTATATTTTATGTCCTTTTCTTTGTTATTTTCCAAACTTCAGATTGTTTGTATCAAAGGAGCGCAAAAGAAAACCCCTTTCTTTTTACTGCTCATTCATTCTCGACTGAGGGAAAGCTTTCATACACACAAAAAATATCGGCCAGCCGTTGCTGCGCCTTGCTTTAGCTTTTTTATTCTTTTTCCTCATTCATTTGCCTCGGCAGCATTTAAAGCATTGCTTGCTCTGTTTGCCCATTGATTTTCTTGGCCTCTTTTTAGTTACCACCCGAATAAACCTAAATATTCCCCCCTCCTTTCCCTCATTTCTTACACTTGCATTCAAGCATATATTTGCTTCTTTTTGTTTTTAGTTATATTTAAATTATTTTATTTTATGTAAATTTGAAAATTGGGTAATTTAAAATTGGGCTGACAAATGAGCAACGAGATTTGGAATTTTATTAGAACCATAGAATTTAGAGATAGAGATTTTTGAAAAGCCTGGACCTGTTCCTGAACTCTGGGGTTTGATTTATTGTCCTGGGCCAGATCTCGGGCTTGTAGTCAGGAAAAACCCAGGAAGATAAAAAAAATGCACGGGCCTGGACACTGGGTACAGGAAAAACCTAGGCTCTGGTCCAGGCCCAGCTCGATCTCTAATAGAATTTATATAAAATTTTGTCCCAATCATTACAAATAGTTGAGGTTTTGGACTAGAGTAAGTCGAGTACCGAGTAATTGGGAAAAAACCGAGCTCGAGTAATCCGAGTTTGAAAAACACGAGTTCGAGCTCGAGCTCAACTTTTTAGGCCGAGTTCGAGTTCGAGTAGTCGAGTAATCGAGTATTTTTTATAAAACAGTATTTTAAAATAATTTCAATAAAAACAATACTTTTACTAAAGACTATTCATCCTCAGTGCCGTGTTTTGAGCATTTATTGGCAGTAATGCGTTAGATCTTCATCCAAATCTCAGTTATTTTCGTTAATCCGTCTATATCCCTCTTAATCCGGGATTTAGGCCGATTATAGTGAGATTTGGGTGTATTGAAAGCAAAATCTTGGAAATTCGGGAGATTAATTGGGATATCGTCGGATTAGATATATTGTCAAAAGGTGATCATGAGATCACCTTTCTTTCGCGCCGTTGGCTTAAATTTTGAGAATTTCTGAAGGTCAAGTAGGAACACCAATTCTCAGAAGGCCAGATCCCTCGCTATTCTTTTAGATCCCTTGAAATATCCGGATATCACTAAAATCCACTTAGCTTGATTGAATCTTCCGATATACACAAATCTTCCTTTTTCAGCGCCGCAGCCAAAAATTTCGAGAATTTTGGAAGACCAGAGAGCAAAATTTCTTCTTTTAGCGCCGCAGGCGAAAATTTTGAGAAATTTGGAAGACCATCGCACTAGATTTATTCCTTTTTCAGCGCCGCAGGCGAAAATTTTGAGAATTTTGGAAGATCCTTAAGCTAAAAATCTTCCTTTTTGCGCCGCAGATGGGGGCATAAAAATACTCGGTTTTAACCGAGTACGTCGAGTAGGAAGTTTCCGAGCTCGAGTAATCCGAGTATTATGATCCCGAGTTCCGAGTCGAGTAATTACGCAAAAAACCCGAGCGGTCGAGTCGAGTAACTCGAACTCGCTCGAGCTCGACTTACTCTATTTTGGACCACATTTAGGTATTTATTCTAAAAAATTTTTTAATTTTTTTAATAATATTTTTTTAAATATTCATTATTTACATATGTATGAATGACTAAAAAATTCTTTTTAAATTCTTTTTAAAATTATTTTAGCTGCACTTTACTTTTTTTACCTTTTTTCCCATTTCTTTTGTGCATCCCGAAATTTAAATTTATTCTCGTCCATACACATAAATTGTATATATTCTATTTTTTATTACATAGATTTTTTTGTCATTTCTTTTTTAAAATATTCATTAAATTATATTTTATTTAGGCATCAAATCTTTCCCTATAAATCGAAAAGGACTTAATTTTAATCTAGGGTTGCACCCCGAATGCTCGGAGGATATGTTGGGGTGTTGAGTTCGTACTTGTAGAAAGAATATAAATGAAGATAAATAACCCATCGTCGGGTGATGGTGGCAAGTCGGTTGTGAGTCGGTTTGGGCCCTTTCCATGATGGTTGAATTCCACACATCCAATGAATTTTTCCACAGCATGAACACTATAATAACATTATACGGGGTACGGGGTTTTCGAATTGTTTCGGGGCGGGGAAATTTTGAAAAAATCTTTCCGGAATGGGGAAGGTGGAAGTGGTTAGGGTGCAACTCTATTTTAATCAAAGAAAACTCTGAAAACCAAAGTAAGCGGTTCCACCGGACATCCTCGGAAATCCAACTCTAAACAGAACATCCTAATTTCTCTTTCAAAATCTTCAAGATTAAGACAATTTTATTTATCTCAATTTAAAATTTTTTATTAATAAAATATTTTAATTAGTATTTATTTAATCTATCGTATACCCCCCCCCCCAAATACCTCCAACATTTCCGTTCCTTTTCATTACTAAAAAAATTCCTTTACATTTTTCATTTCCCTCATTTCTTTACCCCCACCAATCAGCGATTGCCCCCACACACACATAACGATGTCGAGGCTTTTTTCTAATTTATTTTTAAATTTATTTTTTTTTTAAATTGTCAGATTTTATTGATTATTTTTAAAAATTTTTTTAATTTAAAAAATTATTTTAACATATTTTTTAATTAAATTTAAAGGGAAATGAATTAAAATAAAGAATTGAGGATAATTTCGAAATAGTATTTATGTATTTCTAGTCATTTCTTCTCCAAAAAATGTTCCAAAATTTGAATTTATAATTTAAATGAAAGAAAAAATATTTAATAAAATAAATTTAAATGATAACAAAAAATGGCAAAAAAGATTTAAATTTAAAGTTGAGGTAAGGAGAAGAGAGAGAAGGAATTCTAAATTATTTTTGGATTTTAAAATTAAATGTGACGATTTTCTGGAGACTTTTTCTTAATTTAAATAATTTTAGGACTACAATAACATTGGAGTAGAAAATGAAAATCAACAAATTTTAAACAATTTATTAAATGATAAGGTTGATGAAGGAAACGAAGAATTGTGGCTATGGGATAATAATATTAATTTGGTATTTTTATTTAAATATACAGTAAGAAACTCCCTACATATAATATACTCATGAAGCTAGAATATCTTTATCTTAGCTCCCAACTAGGAGTGCCGGATCCAGATCCGAGAACAGTCAAGACATCCGAAAAAATATCTGGGAATTTCCCTGATCCGCCAACTCTC